GGGCGGGCGGGCGGCGCCGAGGGGGCGGGCCCAAAAGTTTCCTGCCCAACTTTCGCTGCCTCCTTCCTCCGCCCGCGCGCGGCGGCCGCAGTCTGGGGAGGCGGCGGCGGCGGCGGCGGCTGCGGGCAGCGGGCGGGGCGCAGGGCGCGGGGCGATCGCCGTCGGGGCTCGGGCGGCGGGCAGTGGGCTCAGGCTCCCCGGTGCCCGCCCCTCCGCTGGAGGTGGAGGGCGCGAGCGGGCTGCCGGGGAGGGGCCGGCACCGCCGCCGCAAAATGAGCCTGCTGTCGGCCATCGACACCAGCGCCTCGGTGTACCAGCCGGCCCAGCTGCTCAACTGGGTCTACCTGTCGCTGCAGGACACGCACCAGGCGAGCGCCTTCGATGCCTTCCGGCCCGAGCCCCCCGCCGGCGCTGCGCCTCCAGAGCTGGCTTTCGGCAAGGGCCGCCCGGAGCAGCTGGGCTCGCCCCTGCACTCCAGCTATCTCAACAGCTTCTTCCAGCTGCAGCGCGGAGAGGTGGGTGCCCCTGCGCGCCCCCGCTCTCCGTCGACAGCGCGGGGCCTTTTCCTATCTGCCCCGCGCTTCCTGGCGGGGCCCGGCTCCGTACTGCCCGGCCCTCCTTGGCTTGGCTTTGCTCAGCTCTGCCAAACTCGCTGCCCGAAGTCCCCGGGGCGCCGGGAGCGCGTCACCTCCCGGCTGAGCCCAGCCGGGAGCAGCTCGGGCGCGGGCGGGGCCCTCCCGTCTCCTCTCCCAGCCCCCAGCGCCCTGCTTGAAGGGGGGAGGGGGGCAGGGAGGCGACGGGGCGGGGGGCTCCGGATTCTCTCCAGACAGCCGGGCGGGGAGCCCCTTCCAAGTGCCCTTCCCACACCCAACCCCATCCCCTTCTTGGCCACCGCTAGCTGGGACGGACAGGGGGACCTCAAATCCGTTCTCCATCGACCTCGGCGGTTTCCGACCCAAGGGGCACCCTGGAGAGCAGTGACTCGCCCAGAGGCCTTTACCTGCTGTTCGCACGCTGGGACCCCCAGAAACGTCCTCCAGCTGCTCGCCCTCCCCCAGCCACATAGGAAGTGGTTTTTGAGGGCTTGACCCCACCGACTGCGCTGTCCCCCGCCCTCCCAGCCTGGAAGGAAATGAAAGGGAAATCCTCTTGAGCTCTTGGGAGGGGGGCTGGTAGCGGGAGAGGTTCCAGCTGCCAGTGCCTTCCCCAGAAACCTGGGCCGGCTGCTTGCAAAGTCTGCTCCTGGGTGGATTCAGTTACAGAGTCGGAGGGGCAGGGCATCTTCCCAGCTACATAAACACACAGACTGCCAGGAACTCCCAGCCTTTTTGAGGGTCTTCAGAGTCTTCCCATATCCCACTCCCCTCTCTCTCCCGCTGGACTCCTCCTCCTCCCCCACTCCCACTTGCTCCTGCTTCATTTGTGAACTGCAGACACCCTTCTGTGGCCTTCACTCACTCCCCTCTGGCAGCTCCCCCTGTAAAAGTTCAGGGGGAAGGGGTGAGGGAGAGGACACCCATGAGGGTAATTTTCCTTCAAGACTTGAACACACCAGTTAGTTTTAAGAGAGACAGAGGCCTGACGTTTGGAGGAGAAGGCCTGTGTAGACCAGTGCAGGGGGGATGAAGGGTGAGACAGAGGGTCACCCTTTCTGGCCCCATCACGTGTTCAGCTCTGCCTTTATTGGCCAGGGGAGACTGGACATATAGCATGCTGGCCTCAGGGGTAGAGGTGGGCTGGTGCCCGGGAGCGGAGAGGGGACCTGTGCTGGGCTGGCTGGGCACAGCTGAGGGAGAGGAGCGTGGAGTGGCAGCCTTTGGTGCCAGGAGAAAGAATTTGTATGCCAAAGCTCTTTGTAAATTGTAAAGCACTCTCCACACGAGGAATTATTCTTGGCTGGGAATCTTTCTTTCTTGTAAGAGGCTTTGCTGCCTCTTCAGGGAACTGGCTGCAGGGATCAGTGATTTGGAGGGACAGTGTGTGGGGTCTTTTTTCAGTGTGTGGGTCTTCTCTTACCAAACATTCGTTGAGCTCCGTGTAGGCCCCTGGGGATTCACTCACAGGCTCACGGGGCCCAGGTTAGAAGATAGACAGGAAGATACAGGGTGAATGGTTGCGTGATTTCATGGGGGTCCTGTGGAAGCCCTAAGGGAGGAGGGTGACTGTGACCCGCAGGACAAGTGGGGGTCCCTAATCAGCCCCTGCTAGCTTTCCACTGCCCCCACCCTATGGTGTGGCCTTGTTCCCCACTGAGAACAGGGGTTTGGGGCCATCAGGAGTCCCCTATGGGAGGAGTTTGATGTGCCTCCTCTTGGAAATTTCTGTCGCCCAGGATCCTGGCTGGCTCTCAGTGAGCCCTGGCTTCCTGTCCCTGCACTGCTGCTTACCTCAGTTTCCCCATGACAAGGCACATTCCTTCCCTGGGGCCCAAAAAGTCTCTTATGACCTGACTTTGGGGGAGCCTCAGTTCACCCAAATGTTACATGCCGTCTCTGCTGTTCTCAGGGATGGGTGTATGGGGTCTGAGAGCTGTACAAACAGGGGAGGATGTGTCCACAGATAGGCTGCATTAGGGGAGGCAGCAGAGGCCCCCCTGTGCTCCGAGGCCGGTGGCTTCCTCGGAGAGGCTGAAGGCCCTCCTGGCTTTGGGCTCAGCCACGCTCACCTCCCAGCCACTTGCCTCCTGACCCCTCATGGAACCCCAGCTGTGCTGCTGCGGGTGGGCCTTTCCTGCATCTAGGACTGGGCCAGGGACCTAATGTGGCTCCAAAATAGCAACTGGCTGAGAAGGCAGGAGAAAATCCTGCCCACCTGCATGCTACCAAGGGGCTGGCCGGAGAGGAAGCAGGTTGTGTGTGGCCCGGAGGGGACTCTCCGAAGGGACCCAGGGGCCCAGGAGCGTCGCCATTCTGTGCGAGGCTGACAGGCCCGGTGGCAGTGCCTGCGAATGTGACTTGCATGCTGACCGCTGACCACGGCCTGTCTGCGCCAGTCTCTGTGCCAAGAGCCCACCCCCTCCTGCACCACCCCCAGGCTGCTCCCACCACAATAGCAAAACACCATGAATGCAGCTGGGATTTGGGGGTGGGGTGGGGACATGGGGGCACAGAAGCCCATTGTGCCCCTGGAACCTCAGCTCTGGAAACTGAAGATAAGCCAAGGGCACTGAGTGGAGCACTGGCCCTGGAAGCAGAGCGAGGGAGAGAGATGGCAGAGTTCGGGGGCAAGTGCAGGAGCATCGGCAGGTGACTTGGATGCCTGGGATTGCTCCTCAGTGTCTCAGCTCGTGGTGAGGATGCCAGGCCAAAGCAGGCACAGGCCCTTCGTGCAGTTTTTTTTTTTTTTTTAAGGTCCCTGGGTCTAGTAACTTGGTCTTATGAACCCCTGTGACAACTATATGTCACTGGAGAGAGACTCCTGAGTGCCTTGGCGTAGCACATCTCTCTCTCCAGGTACCCAAGGAAGGCAGCTCTAGAGGGAGTCAGGGCTGGGCATGGGGGCTTCCCTGCCAAGTTTTGTTTGGAATTAAAATTCACAGCAGTGTGCGTCCTGTGGGACTCCTTCCAGAGAAGTGCTTACCACCTGCTGCATTAGCTCTGTGCTCCTCAGAGGGATGCCCAGGGACCCTCCTGGGTAGTTCCTGTACCTGCAGATATGGCTGTGCCAGTCCAGGTTCAATGAGGGCAGCCATTTTCTTTTCCTCTTCCTCCAGGGACAGGTATGGCTTGGAGATGTGGCCTTAAGGTCAAGTGATGCTTTGTGGGGGTCAGGGAAAGACTCTGGGCTCAAATGCATTTGGAAAGCAGAGCATACTGTCCCTCCTTTGGAGACACACAGTGCCCTCTTGCACAGTAAATCAAGGCTCTGAGAAGTCCTGGAGCACAAAACCTGTTAGCCTTTCTTCAACCCCTCATTCTCCATACCTATTTGATTGGAGCACATTTTTGGCACAGAACACCTACCAGTGTTCGTCAGAACATCTCCAAGCCCAGGAGACGCCCCATCGGGCAGACCTCTCCCTTGTTCCCACCCACAGGAGGCTCCTCCTGGAGCTGTGAACCAGGTCCCAGCACTTCTTCTGCAGCCCTGAGGACCCTCCTCTTTACCGCTCTGGCCCGCCTGCCCGTGGGAGATTTGAGAACAGCAACAAGGGTGTCACAGGCTTAACAGCAATTCTGCATAGACAGGGCTCTAAGTACCCCAGGAGGAGCGACTGTGGGCTCCTGTTTTAAAAGGGCCCCAGGTCTTGACAGTCTTCTGAAGGTTTTGACTTGTTACCTGTGCCCTCCAAGGTATAGATGAGCCACGAGGTCACCTGACCAGTGTGGATGTGTAGAACAAAGCCAAATACCTGTGTGAGGATGAGAGTTTGCCTCACTGGGCCTAAGAGTGGGGTTTCAGGAGCTGAATTTGTTCCCAGCAGCCCTTGCAGTCTGTGTGGGTGGGGTGGGGGTGCAGACCCAGGAGCTTGAGAGGATGCCTGGCTCCCTTCGGCCTCCCCCTGGGAATCTGAGCTCTGACTCAAGCAAGGAGGACCGTCATTGGAGGCCCTGTTGGCTGAGGCGGCCTGACCCTCCCATCAAATTAAGTTAACGGAGTAGGCCTAGCCTCAGAGAGACCTCACCTCAGGGACCTTTTGGGTCAGGTGGGAGTGAGGAAAGCAAGCAGCATTAGTAATTACTAATCAGCAGCAGCATCCCCATTGTCCAGATGGGGAAACTAAGGCTCTTCAAAAGGAGAATGCAACAGGAAATCGGTGGCAGACCCAGGGCTCCAGCCCAGGTCTCAGGACGCTGGTGTGTGTGTGTGTGTGTGTGTGTGTGTGTGTGTGTGTGTGTGTGTGTGGTGTATAATCTTTTATTCTGTCCTCTGGCCATACTGGTCTGCTCGAGGTTTCTGAAAACACCAGGCAGTCCCACTTCTCAAAGCTTTTGCACTTGCTCTTGCACTTCTCAAAGCTTTTGCACTTGCTCTTGCTTCCACCTAAAATGCTATTCCCTGCCCTTGTACAACCAACAGACTCCAAATTACTTCTTTATTGCGTAAGCCCCTCCTCTGAGAGGCTTTACCTGGCTGTCACGGGGAGCACACCTCCTCCAGCTTCTCTGTCCATGACAGAAGAATCGTATGTGCTTCCGGTAAAGCATGTCTTAACAGTTGGTCTTGCCATGAAATGCACACTGGATGTGTCTGTCTCAATAGCACTGTTGTCAGCACTCTGAGAGCAGGAATCCTTACAGTCCTAGCATCCGATGCTTAGTCAATGCCCAGGCCATACTCGGTGCTCAGTTAACGTTTACTGGGTGGGTGTGTGGGAAGATGACTTGAATCGCACCTTCTCCTCTATTCTCCCTCCAGACATGTGACTATGTGAAAGCTCTCCTCAGTCCCTTAGCCTCTTGTTTTATCTCACAGAAGAATTGTTTATGGATCTTGATTAATTGGAAAGAGATGACTTGGAGATGGTGAAATCTTGTCCCTAGAGCAGTCCCAGCAGATGCCTAGATATGCTGAT